TTTACTCTTTTGTATCAAATACAAGTACTATCTGGAATAGACATGTCACTGGGAATTTTTAAATTCTTAAAAGAAGTATGTTGGTTCAAATTTCTGCCAGGAACTGTTAAATAAATATGGAACAAAATAATAGTGCTGCAGAGAAAATGATTTAAAAGTAAATATTTTTGATCAAATAAGGTGGTGTGTTTGGTTGTGGTGAAATTGAAGAAAATCATTTTGCCAGCACTTGTATTTATCATACCATGATAGTTGATAGAGAACATTGCAGTTGAGCGGGACTATGTAGCCTGGAACTGTTTTATGTTTTTTAGAGAGAAGATGAGCAATGCCAAGTAATTCATTCACCTTGGTTTTGCAATGTCATCAAGAATAATAGCAACATCAGACTGAGATTATAGGACCAACCAACCAAACATTATATTTCTTTGACCGTATGCATCAGAGATAGTCATTATGTGATTTGTATGATGCATATTATGTTTGACTGTTGCCAACACCATTGTGAGAGGTGTAAACCTGCAACTTTCCTGTGTTTCATTACTATTTGTCTTGTTAACATATTATTAAAGAATTGATTTGATGTGGTAGGGATAAACACTTAACAGATAAATAGTAGCTAAAAAACTTTTAATTCTATTTTTATTAACTAGAGCTGAAAACAGTAACATTTTATCATGCTGTGAAGTTATCTCCTTGCAATGACAAAATGTGGCACATGGTCAAGTTCATTGTGGAAAATTTCCCACATTTATTTTTTCCCAGTCACAGCAGCTGTTTGTATGTACCACATGTCTCTCTATTTTTATGCAAAGTTACTCTCCGGGAGATTGATCTTCAGGAACTTTATAACTGATCTCTGGCTATTTGTGTCAAAAGATATTGGATAAATAACATCATGTTTGTATGGGTCTGTTTTGTTCAGTGTTAGGTGTATAGAGTTAAGGTTAATAGAGTTTTTGCTTGGGTTTTGGATATCTCTGTCCAGTTTTCCCAATGTATACATGTATTATATTTTGAACACTTGACAAAACACATAATCTTGGCTTAAGGTCAAATGGAAAGAGTAAAACTATGTTGTGCCAGTCTCTGAACTAGAGATATGACCTGCTTTTTATGAAATATTAGCAGTCTTGCTTTTAGTTTTTACTTGGGCTCAAACACCAGACATTAGTAGAGGTGGAAATTATGAAACTATCAAGCAGACCATATGATTATTTACTAGACTAAGGTTGATGTGGCATAAAGCCTCAAACAGTAAGGCTCATTATATGAACAACCAGTTTGAAAGATGTTATGATAACTGCATAATGGAAAGGACATGTGAATATATAAAATGTGTTAAGTTTTTCATTAGTTTGAAAAATTCATAGAATAATGAAAAGGCTACATCTGAGATCCTTGCAATATATTAAAGAAAACTGGGGAAAGCTTGTTTGAAAGATTGTGTTAAAAACAATAAAATTGTGGATATTTATTTCTAGATGACTTACTTGAAAAATTCATTGTGAAGTGGCAAATATATACTGATTGTAAGAAAGTGCAAAAGTTACCAATTTAAATTTATTTTAACTGTTGGCTATGTGAAAAATACATTGTAAACATTTTTAGTATTAATCTTAGTTGTGAAGGTAGTAATTCATTTATCATTGGGTTCTCTTCCTTAGATATTGTTAGTGTATTGATGAAGAACATGATGATGATCACTTCCTAAGAATATTTGCTTCTCAGAAGAATATAAATGGGTCACTTTTTTACCATCTTGAATTCATAGCAGAATACAGTTGACCAGTGTCAGTTTTTTTAAAGATAAAATATATATATATATATATAAGTATATATATATATAAGTAGACTAATTTAATTGGTGAATGTCAATTGTATTTAAATAATCAATAAACCAATCACAAGACAGCAAGAACCTATTTAATCAGATTTAAACTATAACAGTTGATTTTTATTGGCCATGAGATAATTACTTCAACTATACTTATGAATTATTTAGTAGATTTTAGTTTAAATAATTTAGGCCAACAAATTCTGTTTGTTTCTTCATGAAATCAGTATGTGCTTTATGCCCTACTATTAACTCAGATAAATAATGAACTGTTCCATTTTGATTGTGAGCAAAGATGGAAGAAAAAGATATATAAGAGATGCTGTTTGATTTTAGTGAGAAAAGAGAGCATATATAATAATGAGGAAAGAAAGGGAAAATAGAGGCGACAATTATATTCTCATATGTCTGAGTCAATGAAATGGAAAGCCTTATCAACTTTGAATCTTTTTATTTGTATCCTTTTCTTGAAATAATTAACTGCATTCATACATATGGTTGTCATTGCAATGTAATATAATTAGTCCTGACCTGCCATCTTGACTTTAGTTACTTTCTTACCATTGTAACATAACTTCCTTGTGTATTTTCTACAAATATTTTCATGACAATTGTTCTGAAGAGCTTTCTTCCTTAGTGCTCTGACTGCATGAATTTAAGCATGCTATGAGATTGGCAACTCAGTCTGTTTTATTGTTGAATTAGCAAGATGCAACTGTCAGTTCTGTTCTAATAGTTTCTTCTCTCACACTTCTCACCTATGGAACTCTCTTCTGATCTCTTGCTTCCTTGCTATATTCAATCTTCAAAAACATAAATGCAACATCAATTACCATCTTCAGTCTCCTTTTCCTTACTAAAGTTGTCTTATTCTCTTTAACTCCCTGTAACTTCCTGCATCCTAGTGGCTTTAATAGCCTTGCTTGGGGTGAAATAATTAAAAAAAAAAGTTGTCAAGATCAAATATTTAAGGGAATTTCTGCAGGTGTTTTATCAAAATGGAACATGCAAAGAATTTATTCAATCATTAAATTAAGAATTTTGATTTATCAGAAAATGATGAATTGAAAAAATCATGAAATTTTTATGATTGCTGTTAGTATTTAGAAATATAATTTTTGTTTGGAATATTAATTCAACAAAGGGATGTAGATGTTTTATACATATATTTTTTCTTCATGTGCAGTTGGGAGTGTGCACAATTCAGCTTTTGATTCATATTAATATTGTTTAGCTGATGCTCAATTAACATTAGCTATTTTTATTCTAAACAGATATTAGTTTCTGTTTTGGTTGATTTTTGTAACAATTCCAGCAGCTGTGAATGGATCTCAGATTTCTTTGTCATCAGTTTGATACTATAACCACTTAACTGAACCCTCAAGTGGTGTCTTTTATTGAAGTAGATAAGAAATGTGTTAGTTTTGGAGATAAGTTCTAGCCAAGTTGACATACTGCTAAATCTTTGGAGATTTCATTTGATAGTCAATGTCCAATTTTAATCACTTCTCTCTACTATCTTAGAATTTGTGGAGATTCAATATTGTAGAGGCTGGCCATTAAGCATAATTTCCATTTTGGAGAGATTTATTTCAAGATCTATCCAAGATTGTGAAAGCCTTTGGGAAATGTGATATGAAAACCATACTGGCAGAATCTTTATAAAGATATTCAAGGTTGCTGTTCTCCTGCTTGCTTTTCTTGAAGCACAAAAGTACCTAGCAGCAAATTGTCAGATGATCTTTTGATTAATAAAAATCTTAGAGACTCTTGTAATCACAAATCGTTACTCACTAGTGTATTGATCACATATTGATTTGAGAGTTGATTCTGGTCAGAAAAGACTTTGATACATTTTTTATTCAAAATCATTATTTAATAAACAAATATTGCTTAATAGGTATTCATTATTATGCTTCAATTATTTTATGAGTTTCACACCATTTTATTATTTTTAGCTTTTTGCCATAGCACTTAGGTCCTATACACCCTTTATTATTATAATTATTTTATTACTAGTTTTATCCCATCTTATTCTTTTAACTTTTAATTATCATATTCTAGAGGCTGAAGAGTATATTGATCTGGAGAATTATAATAAAAAAGCAATAATAAAATGAATGAAACTAGTAATAAAATAACAATAATATAAATGCTTAAACAAATAAAAGAAACAAAAAAGTGCTTCTTTTATCATGAAGGTTATTGTATAAAGTTCTCAGATTTTATGTGAAATGGTGAACTCAATGATTGTTGATGTATAATAAACGATGAACTACATTTGTTGTGTAATTTTATTTATTATGTTAGCCATGTTATATAGGTTATTTAAAGTTGTTACTTAGATTTGTTTTAAGATGTTAGTTTTATGGAATAAAAAGATTTTTTTTTTTTTTAAGCATTACGTCCCAAGCAAGGCGTGAAGCCACTAGGATGCAGGGGGTTGCAGAAGATTTGGAGCGAGAGCAGATAGGAGAGATAGAAGTGTTTGTTATTTATCCAGTGTTCTTAATATTAAGTAATATATATTGTATAGTTCTGAGGTCATTATCCTTCCAAGGGCTTCCCAGATTATTGATCTCATTCTTTTTGTTGTTGGAACATTATCTTGGCTAATTAGTTTTTCAGCCTTCTTCAAATGTATAATCTTTTTTGAAAGAATTATGGTGGGAAATCTCTTTTTATCAGTTTGATTCTGTCAGTGCTGAAAAACACTTTGGTATGATGAATTGGTCTGATATTGTATATTGTCTATATTGCCACCTTTTTCCTTTCTGTTTGGATACCATTTTGTCTGTTTTACAGTATTGGCTGGCACTACCAGAAACAAGAGAAACTCTTTTTTTTTTCCGTATGAAAGAACATTTAAAGAAGGTTGTAGGATGATGGATCAGTTGAAATGTGATGGTAAAAGAATAAGATCAGTCATCTGAACCTCTTCTGGAATGGAAAAAAATTGTCTTTTGTGATTTTTAATTAAGTGCTTTTGTTTTTGTAATGGGCATCAGCTGTAGATGTGAGTGAACATTATCATTTGTTATTTTTTTAATATATTTAAATAAAATTATTTTTCAAATTATGGGTCTGGAACATGGTTTTATTTTTAGTTATGTTTAACCAACCCTTTAAGGGTTATTTTTTAAGGCTGAAGCCTATTTTGAATTATTCCCAAGTGGTCACTCATCAAATTACTGACTAGGCTCAACACTGCTTAACTTTGGTTATCAAATGGGTACCAGTGTTTTCAGTGTGATTGTCTGCAATCTGAACGTATGTTATTCAGTAAGGTTTGTTTGATTTGCTGTATATGTAAACTAAGATTTTACAAAGTGTTTGTTTCGTTAGTATAGTAGGAACAAATTACTTACAACTGGTAAAGTTTTCCCAGGCAGCTATGAAATTGTTTCAGGTTTATAGTTAATTTTGATTTGCAGGTTTGACAAGGCTCCTGCATTTCATTGAAATTTATTGAGTTTGAGGAAGAGAATAATTAATTACAGCACAGCAGTTCAAATCACAGCTAAGACAGTTGGTATTCATTATAACATTTTTATGATTACAATATAAAGAATGAAATCAGTAGTCTAAACATCTCTTAGAACAGTTTTCATATGCTATTTCTCTAAGTATGGTGTTTTTCTCTATCTTAGAAAAAAAAATCCAAAAAACCTTGACTGGTTCATTGTTTTCTGTCAAATAAACTTGAAATTTATTTATTGATGAATATTTTTTGTGCTTTTGATGTCAGTTTGGGTGATACTCAGTGAGGTTTACCTGTGTATCATTTCTTGTTAGGTAATGGGTAATGATCCCCTGTGTGGATTCTTCCAATAAAAGAATTATATGTTTCTTGTCTATCATTTATCATGTTCAAATGTGGGGGAACATACATTCTTTTGTCTTAAAAGGCTATGAAAAGAAAACAGGATTTCTTTTTATATATTCCTTATTTCTAAAGTATTATCTGTGTTCTTGTTCCTGGCTATTACTTGGAAAACTATCAAATGATTGTACTTTGTGAATGGCATTAGCTATGAAATATTAGCCATTTCCTTCTTTGTTTTGTTCCTTGTCATCAGATATTTTAGTGATGAATAAAAATTATGCTTCATTCTGTATACCCCCGACCCATACATATATATATATATATATATATATATATATATACAGTGTGTTGAAAATTATATTCTTTATCTCTTGTGACAGCCTTGAGAAAAGAAATATTGCACTAATTTGCTGCAAGTAACCCTCTCTTTCTTTCTTTATGATGTGATGCTGTCAACTTTTTTTTGTTATCTTTTTTTTGTTATCTTTTTGTTGTTCCAATGAGTGATGAAAATTCCAGTAAATCTCAGCCACTATTTTTTACTCATTTTATTTGACTGAATCTTGGCAAGGAAAAAGAAAAAAAAATGAGATTTATTTTTAATAAAAGGCACAGTGTTTTGTCTGGGTTTTCTTGAAGCCATTTTTGGCTGTTGCTTTATGCTGCCTGCTGCAGATGACAAACCAGCTGAGAAATGACTTAAACTTGTGCCAAGACAAGTTAGATTTGTGTACAAGAATAATGTATAAATAATTTCTTTTAAAACTGAAAACACTTGAGTAAATATATATTTTCTAGTGTTCTGCACCAAACAATTTCACAGATTTTGCTTTCATTTTGATGAAAAGTAAAAGATTTGATAACAAAAACATTTGATTTTTTTTTACTGCTTGCAGATTAAGTCCCCATTTGTTCAATGTGACTCTCTTTCTGGTGCACTGTAGTTGTAGAGCATCATCATTTGTGTTAAACTTGAATGCAATCATCCGATATGATTGAAGTGGATTGGTTTCTATATATATATATATATATATATATATATATATATATATATAATGCTTATCAGCCATCTTATATAACATGCCTCTTTGAGTGACATTTCTTATTAAAAGCTTCAGAACCACTTTTGAGAAGTAAGATCATTAACTTCATCAAATGCTAAATATATTTTGTGGCTGTGTCTGCTCTTTTTCTTCCAAGTTTAAACTTATAAAAGAGACAAACTCTCACAATTAAATTTTGAGCTGCCACAGTGATTGGTGTATATTCTTGTGATGCTTATCTGGTAGTAAATAATGTGTAGGTTTCATGATGCTGAAAATGCTTACAGGTTGTTGCTATTCAGAGAGTTCATCTTTTTGTAGAGCTAATTAATAAAATAAAATAAAAGAGAGAAAATTCATGCCTCTCTCACATCACCTGGTATTTTATGCTTGTTTTAATTGTGTTTTTTAAATTGAATCATACATTTTTCTTTTATTCTAATTTTGAAGTAATTGTATTAATTTTTCGCTTTTTTTTTATTTTGTAGAAATTTTTTTTTACTTGAACTTTTATATCCATGCTTCTTTCTTCAGTTTTAAAGTTGTAGGATTTCTCCTTTTTTTACTTTTATATACCATGTCCATTCAGAACGTGGCTAATCATGGCTCTCCACATCTTTCTTTTCTTTTGTTGTTCTAAGCCCATTACTAATCATTTTTGTCTTTGTTCTGCCATTCTGCAAGAAAATTACCTACTGTTTGTCCTTGCACTTCTTGCCTTCATTATATCCTGTCATTATTAAATTTTCCAGACCTTCTTTCCACATTATGTGTGTGAGAAATTTCAGCTGTTCCTTTCTAATTTTTAGCAGAAGTTTCCTTGTAATTCCTAGTCTCTTTCCTTGTTACATACATTCTATCCATAGTATTCCTCAGTTGAACCACATCTCTGTCACTTTATCTGGACTTTATCTGTAAGAAGATTGTTGGACATTTACAAATTATATATTAACTATCAGTTCCACACCCTTTTTTTGTTTCTAAACACATTGTCCTATCTCTTAATACTTTGCTTAATTTCTGAAAGGCAACTTCTATTATGTGCCTTTGGATTTGTGTCGCACTTTCCATCATCTATTAGTAAACTATCCAGATAGTTAAATCTCTGCACCTGCTTGATTTTGATGTCTCCAATATATAGCGCCCACTTTGTGTCATCTCTTTGGTTGACAACTCTACATTCGTCATCTGATGGTTGAGTTGATGGTTAATACCTTCTACTTGCTTTCCTTTACTACCTTACCTAAGAGTTCTTCCAGTTTTCTTTCTGGATCTACCATCTATTTCTTTTTTTTTTTTTTTAATCTCAGGCTTTGTTTCATCCTGCTTTCCCTTTCCATACCTTCTAGCCTGTTGGACTTTCACCCTTACAACACTGAGCCTGCTTTGTACTTGGGACATTATGACATTCTAAAATTCACCACAAATAAACACCTTCTCAACTTAGGTACAATAATTTGAGAAGGCAATTTTCAGAGAGTCAGCAAAATGAATAGCATCTTTGAATCCCTCAACATTTATATGAATTTATTAAAGAAACTAATTTGTGTCACAAAGTGCTTTGCTCTGTATGTGAGTTAAGTGAGCAATTTCTCAAAAGAGAAGTCAGTATTTTTCTTGATTTTTCTCATTATTTGCAAATTTTATTGAAACTTTGAGAAAAAAAAATGGATTTATTTATAAATATTATAATTTTAATTTGCCTGTCATAGTTATGAATAAATCAAGCATAACAGAAATTGAAAAGAGTATTACTTTAATGAAACATTTGATGAAATTCATTTCCCCATTCAAATTGTTTTTATGAACAGCCAATTTTTCTTTATATGCAATAACCTCTCAGGATGTATACGGTCATGGCTCTCCACAATTATCTGTCCTGTGTAGCTCTTAATAAATTTTATCTTTTTGTTATTTCTCCTAAATCTTGCTCTACCATCCATTTACTCAAGCTCACATACTTCAAGTATGTTTAGCATTGTTTACCTCTGTCCCTGTTGCCTTCAATCTGTCCAGTGAGTATCAGTTTTTTCAAGCCCTCTTTCCTCATTACATGCCCTAGAAATTTCAACTGTCTCTTCTTGATGTTAAGTATAAGTTTCTTTTTTATATCCATTTACTCTAAAACTTTGTTGTTGCTCACATATTTGGTCCATGGTATCCTCAACATCCTTTTGCAGAACCATATTTCTGTTGATTCAAGTCTCTTCTTGGTCTATAGGTGATTGACCAGTATTCTGCCATATGTGAGGACAGTTCAGTACTTTTTTCTTTGTTTCTGATGAATTTTTTAATAAACAAAAATGTTGATGTATTTATTCCTATATATAGATAGGTAATAAGGTATATAGATAAGTAGTAATATATTTGTTTAAATCTGGTGATGAGGGAGTATCTTAATTACAAAAAGTGGTTTTGGATAGAGAGTCTGAGTTAGTGACTTTAAAAAACATACTTTTTGAATGAACTGAGCAAAGTTGATTGATTTATTATATCCCATTTGTTGACCTTTTTTTCTGCTGTTTTATTATGCTGTATGCATACAGATTTGTCAAAAAATAAATGAAACATTTCTAAATTTTAGATAATATTTTAAATGTATTCTGTGCAAGTATTGAAATCATCCAAAATTTTTTTTCTAAAATTCTATATAAAAAACAAATATATTTCAGGATGGAAATTCCTATAAAACATTTCCCACTTGTCTTAAAGTATTAGCTAACTATAGCTCAGGGCTAACAATCAAGTCGACGTGTTCTGTATTTCAGATTGCAACATTTTAGAGAATTTCACTTGAACTAAGTGAAAAACAGAAATCATTTTTTTGAATGGAATAAAATATGCTATTTGTCTTAAAACATATCCTTTTGAATTTCTATTCTCTCCTAATTTCTGCATGCTGGTTTAAATCTAATTTAAAACATCTTTATATACAGATTCACCCAGTATTTGTTTTAGCAAGGTTATCCTATGCTGACTAGGAAATGCTTCTAGCGTTGTTCATCACTTTTTATTAGGTGATTAGATTTTGTCAGATCAGTTTTATATAAAGTAGCTAAAAATACTGCTATATAATATCAGTCATCTTATGCTGGACAATATCCTTGCAGATGAAGAGAATATTTGAAGCAGCAGAAATATGATTCTACAGAAGGATGCTGAGAATATCATGAATGGTGCATGTCAACAAAGAAGGAAGTTTTAAGGAAAAGAGAAACAAAAAGGATACTTATATGTAGAATCAGAATGAGTTTAAATTTTTGGGACACATGATGAGGAAATAAGGTTAGGGAAACTTGATACTCACAGAACTTGTTGACGGCAATAGTGGCATAGGTAAACAGTCAGTAACTTAGCTAATAAGCTTGTGTAAATGGATGGC